TTCTGTAACTACTTCACTCTAGAATCCTTTCAAGTTCTTCGAGAATCAAGTTTCTGTAACTACTTCACTCTAGAAAGCTTTCAAGTTCTTCGAGAATCAAGTGCCTGTAACTACTCCACTATAGAACCCTTTCCAGTTGTTCGAGAATCAAGTTTCTGGAAATAAAACTCAGAAACGTAACGTTTCATTGATTGTAGTCGTGAAAAATGATTAAATCAGATTATTCCTTGTTACAAATTATGTTTCTTAACGAGCTATTCTAATCCAGAGCATCAATTTTCACAAGGTATCTTTTTATGGACTATTGTACTTATATACATATACAATATTCATATTTTAACAATATATGTAATCCATATTAGCTGGATGTAAGTGATACCGTCCACTGCTTTTTGAAGAAAGTATGCCACTGTGAAAAATCCAAAATACCCTCTTAACGAAACAGTTCAGTAATGTTTTCTTAAATTGCAAGTAAAGAATGTCACAAATATATCATCGATGGTCGACAATGTGTTAAAACGGAACCGCACAAACGATTACTCCAACTTGTACTATCTAACGCGTTCCATGTTCATAAATAATTTAAAAAAAAAAAAAAAAAAACAAAAAAAAAAGAAGAAGAAGGAAAATAACATGGTCCCTCGTTTGCTACTGCTACGACACACTTGCACACAGCCACACGGTTATATACACATTTACTTATGTGCAAGAAAGTATCGCCTAGTTTCTAGTATCGTTTGTACACTCGCGATTGAAAAGAAAGTCTTGTGCGTCGTGTGAAATCTACAAAACAATTTCGTTGAAACCTCCGACGTATCCAGCGACGCGAACGAGCGCGTGCAACAATTACAAAAATCGTTGCACGCGAAAATGTTTAACACACAAGGACGATTTCAATGTTCGAAAGTATCTTTTCAAAATTAATTCGATCCCAGCAAAGCTCGAGTCCGTTAATCGCGTTTGTCGAAATTAACTAGCACGCGGTGCACGTTTCGAAGAATATCATCGATTATTCGAAACAATAAGAACGCCTACATGTTGCTAAAAACTGAACCGAAAGGAAACTCGTGGCGCGTGCAATAAACGTAAGATAATGCAAATACGCAACTGAAAGTAAGTCGTCGATCAGCAAGCAAAATCTCTGCGAAAGTATAGACATCGGCGCAAACTATGAACTTCGAATACTTTACGGTAACTAGAAATGATGAGAAAGCGACTAACTCGTCAACTAAACAGGCTCGACAGCTGCAACGCAAAGTAATGGTTAACGAAATTGGGGGGAAAAAAGATCGTCAACGAAAAAGCACATCTTTCCAAGCAGTAAAAGAAAATAGAAAAAAGAAAAAAGAAAAACCAAAACAAATGCCAACATTACCTTTCACCCTACGATTTACAAAACATTTTGCGAGGAAATAGTATGATTATCGGTCGGATGATAAATGGGATTTGTATCTTTGTGTTGTTGAATTTGTAGTAGAATAGTATAACGAAGGAAAAAGTCTGATGGGATGCCTAATCTTTGATTGATCGATGCAAAATATTCTCTTTCGAATGAAAATACCTTGTTCGCAGATTTCATTGAGTAAAAATTGCAGCGAATGAAGCTTTCGTTTCACATTTTACCTTTTACATTTGTTAGTAAACGAGAAGGTATCGCAAAATATTCCACAAAATTAGTCAGTTTAATCCTACTCGGAACATTAACAGAAATTGGAATTGTTTGAATGAATTGCAATCGAAATACCTTGCGGATTGCGTGGGAGTATTCGCTGCGGAGCCCTTCTTTCCTTCCAACGAGGCAAGATGCTGCTCTAACGCGTCCAATAAACTACTGGGGGCCTGAAAAATTCACAACAAAGTTTTTTAAGCGGTAGAATAATATGAAAAATGTTCAGACAAATGTAAAAATCGAAGGTTCGAAACAGATTGATTTGGCGTGACACCATATATTCCTTCTTGTTGGGATACGTTAGAACATACATTCTGTTTAACAGAAATGTAAATTTTATTTATTTCATTCCTTATTTAGTCCCTCTTTTAGAAATTAATTGTATTATACTAGCCTTGGCTATAAATCAAAGATCTTAACCAGACAACGAGGAACAATTTGCTGCGAATCTCAATTTTAATTTGGTCGATGGCAACAGGATATATTCACCTGTATATCAACTTTATTAATTTCTATATTAATTCACTTGTATTAATTTTAGTCCTTGAAATTAGTTTCGTTACCTTTGTCAGATCAGGTATGTCTCCCTTATCGATGCCAACGTTCTACAAAAAGATTGAAATTAGTTTCGCAAAGTAATCCATCCAAGCTCCACCGTTTAAAAATGATCTCCACTGACCTCGGCAACCTTGAGGAATTCCCCAACCCGATCCATTCGTATGAGAAACTTTTTGTACAAGTCCAGGGCCTCCCTGCACTGTTTCTTGTTCATATCGAAGTACTTTTCTGAAATTCAAGCAGTCATACGATACTCGACAATTTTTTTTTTGTCGTAATTTAAAAAGGAATCCGACGTGGCCCACCTAACAAATTGATAATGCCGTCGTTGTAGCAGGCGAACAGACGGATCAAATCCCGAAAGAGAAGCATGAACGCCATGTTTATGACGCCGTTTGTGAGATCGTTGGAAGTGCAATCGAACTCGAGCAGCACGTCCAGCTGTGACTGCAACACTGGCAGAGTTTTCAACAATTTCTCGGCGTTCATTGTGCGCAGAGTGCCGTCCTCCTTTCTGAAACATAAGAAGAGGACGAGTTAGAAATACATGAGAATATGCAACAACTGCGATAGATCCGCAAGCTTAACAACGATTCATATTACACACAGTCGAAAATGTTGTGTTATTGTGTGTAAGAATTCATTAGTTACATGTTTTCCGTTGATTACTTTACTTAATTTAGTGTAAGTTTAACAAGTTGAATATGAAAAGTTAGAAATGTAACACATTTTTAATGTTAGCTGAAAATTAACACAACGTAACAGTCGATGCTTGTAACATTAAATTCTCAGAATTTATATTTAGCGAGCTGTTAATTTATTACGCATTGTATTAGTTTAATGTTAGCCAAGTTCTGTAATTATCCAATTCTGTAGGTAATCGATATAACGATAACTATTCATCTACTATTCTATGACTATTAATCCACTCGACATGACCATACGTTAAATTAACACAAAACTACTTCTGTCTGCAAATCTACTTCCTTTTTTAAATAAACGTGCCTACCCTCTCTTGACTTTGCAAAAGTCGAACGCCACAGTCCTGTAGGAAAGCGCCTTCTCGTTGAGATACTTTGCGTATCGCCTGATGAACGGTGACATGTCATAACCTAGACAAACAAAAACACGGTTACTGGTTGAAAGAAGCAACCACAAGACCAAGATAATCATTCCAGTAGATACTATGCAACGTTAGATACATGTATATGAGAAAGCACCAGGAATCGTTTTTAATTGTATTTGAATAGATTATTTAGAACTCGAGGTCCCTATTGATAGCTCTTCAGAGAATACATGTATAGACCGAAGGAAACAACAGGAATCAATAGGAACAATTGTATATCCTGAGAGTTTCTCAATTTTTAACTCTATTCGAATAGATTACTTGAGGTTTCTATCAATATAAGTTCAGAGAACTATGTAATACAAGAAAAGGAGACGAATCGAAAGCCTCTCTCTTGCCTTACAGAATAAGCAATCAAAGCAGAGAATTCAAATATAAAATACAAATTCAAAAAAAAAGAAAATAAAGTAATTAGTGTCCACCAATTAATACATTCACAATTGAAATTTACATGTGATACATGCGATTGAATAAAAAGGTAGAATCGGAAAGAAATATCGAATCTATGGATAAAGAATTGAATGTTAACTCACCGATGCGAGCTGCTGTTGTGGCCACTAGAGAGAAAATTAGTTACAGGTTAGTAAATCATAGACAGAGGCCAGATACAGATAGCTGCGCAATTCTAGGATATTAGCCAAAGAGAACTTCTCATTAAGTCTCTGATTCAACAGAGTAGACGCGTATATACATCGTTAGAAACGTTTAGAGCTCAAGCACTTCTAAATACTTGTCTACAAACAACGAACCCTGTCTCTAACAAGAAATGCTGTCTGTTATCACCTTATCGACCTAGGGTTTTCTTATTTTCAAAACACTAGTATTATACAATATTCATCTTATGTGTTAGAATTGTTTCCAGAATAATATTTTATAAATAACAAAGTTGCCATGATTGAAAGTCAATTAATAAACAAAGTACAGAATATAAAAACACGAGTGTGCGCTTCTTAGACAGGATTCTACAATATTTATAGAGCACATCACAATTCATATGATGAATTACTAACTCGGTAATAAATAACAAAGTTGCCATGATTGAAAGTCAATTAATAGACAAAGGACAGAATATAAAAACACGAGTGTGCGCCTCTTAGACAGGATTCGTCGTACACGGTTATCGGAACGAATTTAAAGTAAACAGAAAAGAAGAAAACTTGCGACTCTACGATCACACGCTATACGTCTGAATCAGAGATGGGCAAAATTCTCATCTAGATAACAAAATGTTGGATAACTAATAAACAAAAAGTTTCTTTTCCATTAATTGTTAACGTTAGAACTACCGACGGTCGGTGCATGCTTATTGTTTATTAAACTATGTATCTTTGTAATTGAAGGGGAGGGGGGAGCAAGCAAGTAATCGATACGGCGGACAAAAGAAAGTTTACATCATACAAATGAAGGAAATGTAAAAAATCAAGCATACGAATGGTAGGTACTATACTTAATTAATGAATAATTAATAACGGAGCAATTCAAGAAAAAGGAACTAGCTGGACTAAAGTAAGATTTGTAACAAGTCTCTACAATGTGTCCCACAATTAAGAACCGGACAATGAGGAGGTGGGGTAGCTGAGACGATTCTGAACAATTTCGGAATTTGCAAAAATGTCGGATGTCGGTTCGTTTTTGAATTTCTGCCAGATACCTGGTAAATGGTAACTTCCTTATCGACTCGGCAGTGGGTTATCACCTGAACTTTGGCGGAAACTTCTTTATCGATTCAGAAGAGGATCTCTTTTACCGTCTTTTGTTCCGTTTCTCTTCTTCGATTGCTGTTTGATTTTTGTTAATTAATAAATTGCTTTCTGGTTGTATAATACATCATTAAAACTTGAAAAGAAAACCACTCGTATTCTCAACATATTTTTGTTATAGTCTCAAGTGTTATAAATTAACGAAAAACCATCGGACCAATCGCAGCGGCCGAGAAGCGCGGGCACAGCCGCGATTGGCTGGACTCGATAGCTGGCCCAATGGTTGGCGAGCGTCCTGGCTCGAGCCGGCCAATCGCGGCTGAGCGCGCGCTAATCGGACGCTGCGATTGGTCCGATGGTTTTTCGTTAATAATTCAAAAACGAAACGCCATCCGACATTTTTGCAAAGGAAATTGTTGTTCAGAATCGTCTCGCCTACCCCCTCCACTTCCGGTTCCTACATAAATTTTGCGACATCCCGTATATTTTCTAGATTCATACATGCATTACAGTATTTGTTATTATTGTTATCGGACGTTATTAATAACGATTTCATTTTTTTATTTCACAAATTTCCTTAAATATTGCTTAATCGAAACAGTTTATCTCTAACTACCAACTAATATCGATTAATTCTCTATTATACTGTTGCTCGTCTATGTAAATAAAAATCGAAATTATACTTAACATATATACAAGCGGAACTGCAGGCAACTGTCTACATACGTTTACTATTTTGCGGCACTATTATTATTATATATAAGAAACGTTAAACTTACTTTTGTCCGCTGCACGCATTGCACAAAATAAATTAGTCACGTTCTATGTGAACACAGTTGTATATGAATCAAACGATATTAATAAAATAACAATAATAGATCAAATAAAATATCCTACGCGAAAGTTACTGTAACAATTACGTCTCCGAACGTTTCGAATACTTTCCGATAAATCAGACTTTAAATATACAAATCTATTGATCGAATCAAATTTTACCAATCTCTGATACGAATTACGTTCGATGGATTTAAATTCAAACGCTTTCGACTACTTCCAATAAAACGATAATTTGTAATTTCAAGTACGCGGTACGTGTTTGCAATCGGATGGTTAAAACACGCAGAGTTCAAGGAGCTGTTAGCATTTTCTAGCGTTTTGTTAATAGCTTTTCAAGCAGAAGATTTTGTCATTAGCTTAAAAAAGGAAAACGATAAGAAAACTAGAAACTCCATGCTAATTTGAGTGGTTCAACCGTCCATTCGCTTACATTCGCTTCTTTTCTAGAGTATTTACTTTCATTTATTCTTTTATTTATCTAGCATTGTTTATCAAGCATTTATACAGAGTGTCCCAAAAATGCTGGAGATCATTGAAAGAGGTGGTTCGGGAGGTGATTTGAAACAACTTTTTCCTTAGCGAAAATCTTGTATGAGGCTTCGTTCAGGAGATATTAACGGAAAACACTGACCAATTAGAGCGCGAGTATGCCGGTAGAGCGCCAGCAGTGGGCGTGGCTACGCGCTAGGCGGCTGCGCTCATACGCTACCGCGAGCGCTCCAACGGTATACGTGCGCTCTAATTGGTCCGGAGTTTTTTGTTAATATCTCTTCAACGAAGCCTCGGACAAGATTTTCGCTAAGGAGAAAGTTGTTTCAAATCACCTCCCAAACCACCTCTTTAAAGGTGTTACAACGTTTTTGGGACACCCTGTATATATAGAGTGAAGGTGATTTGAAACAACTTTTTCCTTAGCGAAAATCTTGTCCGAGGCTTCGTTCAGGAGATATTAACGGAAAACACTGACCAATCAGAGCGCGAGTATGCCGGTGGCGCGCCAACAGTGGGTGTGGCTACGCGCTAGGCGGCCGCGCACATACGTTACCGCGAGCGCTCCATCGGCATACGTGCGCTCTGATTGGCCGACGTTCTCTCTTAATATCTCCTGAACCAAGCCTCGGACAACATTTTCGCTAAGAAAAAAGTTGTTTCAAATCACCTCCCGAACCACCTCTTCCAAGGTGTTACAAAATTTTTGAGACACCCTGTATAGCGTAATTGTTAAGCAAGATCAATTGAACCACTCGATAGAAGTTAATCGAAGAAAATTCTTTTAAACAACGTGATCACCTAGCACGCCGCCTTTATCAAAAAAACTATTCAGCTGAAACGTGCTGTTGCTGGACGCCAGATACTGTGTAAACCTCTGCAACAAAAAGTTCATTGGACCGTTAATATATATATATATATCGCAAGAGTGTTCCAAGTGTAAATATAAAAACAGTAAAGAAGATATTTTATTTTTACGCTTTTCTTTGAGCCTACGTCAACCTTAAGACGCGTTGCAAACGCAAAAGGGAAAAAAAACGTAAAGAAGAATACATTTTATTTTTACGCCTTAACCTTAAAGCGTGTTTGCGATTTTTTAAAAGTTACTTTGGGTTAGTTCGAGACATCAAGTTTTTAGAATTCTGAATGTCCTTAAAATATTCCTTTCTCATCTTTTTGACGTTCTTCTTTACCAACAACCTCGACTGAACAATGAAATCTACGTTATCTACATCTGTTTCTGCTTTACCGACCGGAGTCGCCTGAATTACCGATTGATATTGTTCGCTTAAATTTTGGCGTGTTCGCGATGATGAGCGAAAACTGTTCTATAATTAAACAACAGTTGGTGGAATAAGTTTTTACGGGAATATAATTGTTGTTATCGGAAATAAAAGTGGAAAGAGAACGCGTAGTGGTCGAGAATGCGCGGCAGACACACACACACACACACACACTATGTTGTAAATGCTTTATTTCGATCCAGACTATTCGATCCCGTGCTACATTCGCACAAGGGCGACGACACTTCCCCCCGTTCGACTCATTACTGAACCTGAAATGAGTTAGACGACCTCTGAACTAATGTAAATAATACTCGGAGCCTCCTACGAGCAGACTGGCTGCGATTCGCTGCGACGCCAAAAAGAAATCCTCGACGGTCCGGCCGCGAAAATTTCGATACTATTCGAGACAGGATATTACAAAAACGATTATTTAAATTTACTATACTGTATTTAAGTAAATGATTTTCCTATTAATTATTTTGTTTTTTAATTATCACGCAAGTTAACTTTTTTAATTCACTTTGTGTTTGAACGAACGTCTATTCGATAATGAATAATCATTAATTATAACGTCCAATCGTCAATCATGAATTACCATTTAGAAATCATCATTTAGCTATTGCTAATCATTGATTACAAGTCATTATTATCATCGATCACCGGTTGATTATCAATTGTCAATGGATCGATCATGAATCACGTCATTTAACAACGACTAATCATTTATCACCAATCGTCATCATCATCGATCACCAATCATTAATAGTTCAGTCTAATCATCAACCAATCGTTGATTATCGGTCATTAATCAACAATCATAGTATTTAACGATCTCTAATCATTAATCACGAATCATCATCATCAATAATTACTAATCATTAATAATCATCAATCAATTGTTGATTACCCATCATCAATGATTGTTCCTGAATCATATTATTTAACAATCACCAACCATCATCATCATCATCATCATCATCATCATCATCATCGATCACCAATCATTAATAAGCATGTCCAATCATCAACCAATCATTGATTATCAATTATTAATGATCCAACATGAATCACAAGGTTTAACAATCTCTAATCATTAATCACGAATCATCATCATCATCATCATCATCATCAATGATTACTAATCATTAATAATTATCAATCATCAGTGATTGTTCCTGAATCATATTATTTAACAATCACCAATCATCATCATCATCATCATCATCGATCACCAATCATTAATAATTATGTTCAGTCATCAATCTACCAATCAATTGATCGTTGATTATCAACTATTAATCATAAATCATATCATTTAACAATCACTAATCATTTATCACCAATCATCATCATCATCATTATCGATCACCAATCATTAATAAGCATGTCCAGTCATCAACCAATCATTGATTACCAATTATTAATGATCCATCATGAATCACACCGTTTAACGATCTCTAATCATTAGTCACAAATCATCATCATCATCAATGATTACTAATCATTAATAATTATCAATCAATTGTCGATTATCAATCATCAGTGATTGTTCCTGAATCATATTATTTAACAATCGCTAATCATTTATCACCAATCATCATCATCGATCAGCAATCATTGATCATGTACATATTATAATTGATTTGCGTCGGCTCGATTTCTATAAACTCGATAGAATCAATTTTCACTATCGAATAAACGTTCCATATTCTTTGAAGACTTCCGTATTCTTTCAGTAGACAACGGATCGCGCAACAAAGCGAACCCGAGATCGCCTTAATGGAAAGGCCAATTAACCTGCAAGCGCAAAACCCACCGTGTCTCTCGTTCGTCATACATTTCTAACCGAATCAATCCTCGGTCTATCCTATCATTTCCAACGCAACGGACTCGTCGCGAAGGCAAAGGGAAAAAGGCTAAAGAGACTAAAGACTAAAGAGAGCTCTCTCTCGGTCTGATTGGGTCTAAGGAGGCCACTTATCGACGGAGCCCTCGTCGCTCCTGAGTCCTGTTCTGCATTGCAGATCCACACAACACACCGAACTATCCAAGAGAACGAAACGATATCTTTACCTCGTTCCCGTAACAGAGCATGTGGTGCACCGTGATCAGAGCTTTGAAAACCACCGTCCAATTCGTGCTCTGCGACCGTTCTATCAGCAGGTTCGCTAGCTGCGGTATCGACACGTTCGGCTCGTTCGTGCAGTGGATTAAATCTGAAACGAGAGAAACAAGTTTTCCATTAGTTCCGCCGCGATGTTCCCGTTACGTCACCTCGTCGACGGCTTTCAAAGACCCGGCCAAAATTAACCCGTTTCGGAATAATTGCGAACTTTATTCTCGACGTACGAATTTATCTCGACCGTATTCGTACGAGAATATCGTGATACGAGTACTATAAATAACCAATTCGCTATTTCAAGATTGAAAATCATTTTATTTTCGAACAGCCGAAATACATGTCCCGTTGTATGGTGAAAAATGCTGATATGAGATATTTGTGCACTTATGGTAGAGATACTTGTGCATTTACGGTAGATATGTGTGTGCATTTATGGTAGAGATATTTGTGCACTTATGGTGGAGATACATGTGCATTTATGGTAGAGATACATGTGCATTTATGGTAGATATCTGTGCATTTATGGTAGAGATACATGTGCATTTATGGTAGATATCTGTGCATTTATGGTAGAGATACTTGTGCATTTATGGTAGATATTTCTGTATTTATCGTAGAGAAATTTATGTATTTATGGAGACTTTACTGTAGTAGCAAAAGAATGTTCCGTTACAATTGGTTCTTGGTACGTCACAAACCAATAAAGGGGCTTTCGGAGAAATAAAAATGTCCTGTCGCGGGAAATCATTAAATATGTTGCAGTAGGTGGTGGTTCACGATCAGTTAGTCGTGAGACATCCTGTCACTTGATTTTCAATCTCTCCAACTCTTGCGTGTGCGCCAAGTCTGTAAATTTTTTATTCTTTTTTTTTTTTAAATTTATTTCACTCATTTCACTCACACTTTCAACGTGTGAAAATAAAATTCCTCTTTCATTCTCGATATTTTGATAGATTTATCGTACACGCCGAAAGGTCATAGTTTACAACAACAATTTTATCAACGCGGTACCGAAAAACTCTTTTTCGAAAACCGTCGTTCTCGACAGCTTTTCCTTAAAGCCGAACTTTATCTAGAGCTTTATCTTCCGCCACGAATCGAGTCCTAGAGTTCATTGTTTCTCATTCTCGCAACGCCAATTAAAGGAAGGTTACGAGTTATCGGTCCCAGCTCGATCCCAATAAACAGCAAACAAGCAAACACAATTCGCATCTGGTCCAAGAGCTTTATCGGTTGCCCTTTCCTCGCCAGCGAAACGCGACATTGACTGACACGAGATAATATATCGCGCGACCAAACAGCACCGTTTAATCTCTATTGTTTTTTCCCCGGGCGACTCTATCGACAATCGTCTTCGATGGACATGGAAAACCGTGTAATAGACCGCTAATTGAAAGAGCAAAGTGGCAACCGACTGACTCTGCCTCGACGTGCGTCGATCGCAAATGCAAATCGATCGGAATCTGGTCGAGGAAGAAACCAGTTGCTGTTTTTATCGACAGTGGACTCGTAAAATTTCCATCGATCTTTTAAAACTTCCTATTACACTCGTGACGAAACCTTGCCTTCCTTTGATGAGATCCAAGATTTACTCTAACGGAAATATCTTTCCTAGAAGTGGAAATTGATTCTCCGCAACACCTGGTCTCCAAGAACCAAAGCGAGGGAGCTAAGAGAAATAAGCAAATAGAAATATATCTCGGAGAATATATTGGCTTGGCTAGAAAATACCATTGTTACCACTTGTTTTTATTATATTCGAACTAACGGGATGTCAATTTCGTTATAAATAATGGAAACAAATCAAAATACTGTAATCTGATCGAAAGTTACACGCTGAGAGGATTCGAACCCGAGACCTCCGTGTTGCGGGGCGAGCGCCTCGATCACTGGACCGTTGCTGCACCCTACCAGTAGTCTTCGTATTTAACCTTTTATTGCGTCGAGTACAGGGGACGAGGTACTACGAGATACATCCACCAAACTACCTTAACAGTTTACCGACTGCTAGTCTCTTAATTTATCGTTCGGAATAACAACTTTTTAATGTGCTACTCGACAAGGTCGATATCAACGTTGAAAAAATGACAAATATTATTGAATTTAACGTGGCTAGTGTTGGTTCTATAATGTATAATCTAAATAAGCGTCGTTCGAAGGGCACCGATTCGAGAGCTGTCAATCCGCGGTGGGGCAGTCTGAATATTTTCGGTTAGTCATCGTAAATACACCGCTGTTGAATGGGATGCAACGCGAGAGGCGAAGGTTTGTTCGTGTTTGAGAGTGCATTATTAGAAGAGGAAGCGCGACAAGGTCGAGTGCGCGCGTGCGCTCAGACCGTTTTGGCAAATTGCGCTTGCTTGGTACACTTTCTTCTCCGAAAATAAGTAGACACGTGCACACGGAAATCACCTATGTACGCACGCTGTATTTCAGGTTGGAATTACGCGACGAACAGGGCCGGCGTGACATTTCGCGGGACCTGGTTCACATTCAAATCTTACACTTAAATTTTACAACGAGAAATTATTTATTTACAAGTGCTATACAGGGTGTCCCAAAAATGTTGTAACACATAGTATGGAGTGGTTCGGGAGGTGATTTGAAACAACTTTTTCCTTAGCGAAAATGTTGTCCGAAGCTTCGTTTAGAAGATATTAAGAGAAAACGTCCACCAATCAGAGCGCGAGTATATCGTGGGAGCGCTCTGATTGGTCCGGAGTTTTTTGTTAATATCTCGTTAACGAAGCCTCGGACAACATTTTCGCTAAGGAACAAGTTGTTTCAAATCACCTCCCGAACCACCCCATACAATGTGTTACAACATTTTTGGGACACCCTGTATACACAGAGTAGAAGTGATTTGAAACAACTTTTTCCTTAGCGAAAATCTTGTCCGAAGCTTCGTTCAGGAGATATTAAGAGAAAACGTCCACCAATCGGAGCGCGAGTATACCGTTGGAGCGCTCTGATTGGTCCGGAGTTTTTCGTTAACATCTCGTTAACGAAGCCACGGACAACATTTTCGCTAAGGAAAAAGTTGTTTCAAATCACCTCCCAAACCACCCCATACAATGTGTTACAACATTTTTGGGACACCCTGTATACACAGAGTAGAAATGATTTGAAACAACTTTTTCCTTAGCGAAAATGTTGTCCGAGGTTTCGTTAAGGAGATATTAACGAAAAACTCCGGACCAATCAGAGCACGAGTATACCGTTGAAGCGCTCTGATTGGTTGGGGTTTTCTGTTAATATCTCCTTAACGAAGCCTCACGAAAAAGTTGTTTCAAATCACCTCCCGAACTACCTCTTTCAATGTGTTACAACATTTTTGGGACACCCTGTATAGACGAAAACGCTACCCGTGATTATTTTCTTCCCAAAAAATCTGAAAATGTCAGCTTCCAAGGAAAGACCACTCGCGGAAGAACCTCCTGAATTCGCAAAATAGTTTTCTAGTTTTTTCCACGGACGGTATTATCGACCGAGCCAAAACTTGCACACCTTTGTTTATCCACAGCTTTATAAATAACCGGTAACAAACAACGTGTTCGTAACATTTCCAAGTTTGCGCGTTATAAACATAAATGGAGCGCTTTCGGTATTAGTGAAGGAAAAAGAAACGAAACGTAGCGAATCAGCGAGCGTTAAATATTATAATAGGCGTAATTGTGAAACGTATGTACAAGAACGCAATCGTTATCGAAAATTATCTGAAAGTTGAAGGGGTGTGCAAGAGATGTTTCTCCGTATTCCAGGCTCGATGGGGGCGTCACCGATAACGTGTTTTGGTAAGACGATACTGAAACGAACCACGGATCATGGCAAACAACAGTCGACAGTAAAACGTGATAAAAAAATATTGGGAACGTTATTTATTTATATTGTTAAGATATAAAAAGGTACAAATATAATATAAACTTAAAAATACTGAGATATAAAAAAATATCATACTATCGACAGAATGTATTTTTTTTTTATTCATTTCGATGGAAGAGAATGTAAAAATTAGCCTAATTTTCAAAAGTTCGTAACTCTCTTAACGACGAATAATTTGGATTGAAACTTTTTTTCGTGGTAGATCTTATGGAACTTAAAGTGAAAACTTAATTTAAAAAATATGGAAGATGGATTTCTTTGAGAATTCCCAAAGGTGCCCATCATCAATTTTGGTCAAGATCTGAAATCATCTGTAAATATTACTTTTCATTTGCTTGGTCAAAACTCGTGACGAACAAGAGTTCGTTTTCGGATCTCTCGCTCGGCAGGAGACTTGAAAGTAAAAGTTAGGGACAGCGAGTTGCATATTTCGAGTCGATACTGTAATTGCGATAGCAAAATTAAAGCAGAAAATACATCGTTGCCTAAAACTAAATTAAATTGCCAAAATTAAATTTCTAAAGAAACGTTATTTTCCGTCGGTAACTTTTCTGCCGGTAAAGAAGAACTTTCCCTTGCTATTCGAAACGCAACGGCCGCGATGAAAGCGAAGAATATAGCGATGGCCCAAACGCGCAACCTCCATCGGAGTTAATTCCACGGAACCCGAAATGGAATGGCTCCAAGGACACCGATTACCATCGAATAAAGAAAAAAAAAGAGAATGCGTGCGAAGAACGGCGAGAGAAGCGCACGACCGACCGTGTACTCCTCGTATCGTCGGAACTGGACATTGTAAAAATCCTCGATGCGATTCCTCGTACAATGCCCGGTGTAATTATGCGCGAGAGTTTCGCAATTCAATGAGTCTTGGAATAGATAATCGCAGCCGCTTTTCGCGCGGTACGTTCGCATATTAAACGCACAACGTTACGTAAACACCGCTCGATAATGAATGAATCTATAAACGTGTCGTTGAACGTCCGAAGGTTGTCTCGGGAATGGACAGAAACAACTTTTTCTGGCCGAAAAGTATTCGTAACAGGACTCTGGTTATCGACGAGAACAACTTATCGATCGAGATAAGTGCAAGGGGTTTATGTTAAATTAATTCGATGCTTTTCCATTTAGATTGCGCGAAGCGAACTTAGCTCTACTTGTTCCGAAAACTTACGATGGGAACTTGTCATATCTTCGAGGTTTCGATAAAAG